CTCCTTTCTCAAGTAGCCGAATATATCATAACAATAGCGTTATGATCTTAGAATTAAAGCTTTTCAACGTAATATGGCACAAGTATATTTTCTGTTTATTCTTGCAAGAGGGGAATACCAACATATAAAAAAATTTAAGTAAATATAAATAAAATGTAATATATACAAAAAAAAAAAAAAAAGCAGCAATGAAATCGAGATCAATAATTTTAACAAGCGACAAGTGCGTCACAGTGAAGAGGGATGAAGAAAGCGGATGAGTTGGCAAGCGGAAATACAATTTATGTAGAGGAGAATTGAGAGGGAGAGCAACTGAAAAAAATATATATATAAAAAGAAAAATAATAGTAGTAGAAAAGAAGTACGAGTTCATAATAGTGACGGACATTTGTTTTATATTTTTTTTCTTTCTACTTGTAGTTTCTTTACTTTTAAATCTTTTCTTTTCATTTCAAAATTTTTATACTAAAAAAAAGATAAAATTAGTATTTTAAAATTTTTAGTATCTAAAGAACAAAAAATTAAAGTTCCTATATACATGTATTAAATAAAATATAATTTAAATAAAAGAATCATGCACACACCCAATACAAAAGAAGATGACAGACATATTTTCATAAACTCCTAAACGAAGAGGGTGGTAGGGACATTGTGCTGCGGGACTTGGATCACTCCGAGATGCTCCGGGATTTCGGGTATTGTAGGCGCATAAGAGTAGAAGAGTTTGAGGGGGCTATGCGTAAGATGCACAGGGGTAGAGCTACCGAGCCAGATGAAATACCTGTAGAATTTTCGAAAAATGCGGGTAGGGCAGGTTTGGAGTGGCTCACTAGGCTGTTCAACGTCATTTTAAGGATGAAGAAGATGCCCGATAAATGGAGGTGGAGTACGATGATTCCTCCATATAAAAACAAGAGTGATATCTAAAGTTACAATAATTATAGAGGGATTAACAACCATACTATGAAAATTTTGGGAGAGGGTGGTTCGAGTGAGGGTGAGGACCACTGTGTCCATTTCTAAGAACCAGCTCGGTTTCATGCCGGGGGGATTGACTATGGAAGCCATTCATATTGTGGGGAGATTGGTGGACCGGTATAGGGAGTTGAAGAAGGACTTCCACATGGTGTTCATTGACCGAGAGAAAGCATATGGCAAAGTCCGGAGAGAGGTTCTCTGGCGATGCTTGGAGGCTACAGGGGTCCTAGTAGCCTGCATTAGGGTGATTAAGGACTTGTATGATGAAGCTAAGAATTGGGTTAGAGCGGCGGGAGGAGACTCGGAATACTTTCCGGTTATGGTAGGGTTGCTCCAGGGATCAGCTCTTAGTCCATCCTATTTTCCTTGGCGATGGACGCATTTACGAGACACGTTCAAGGTGAGGTGCCATAGTGTATGTTATTTGCTAATGACATAGTTGTAAGTGGTGAGACGCGGGTTGGTGTTAACGAGAGGCTGGGATTTAGAGGCAGACCCTAGACTACCTAAGGGTTTCAAGTTGAGCGGACCAATATGGAATACATGAAGTGTGAGTTCAGCAACGGTACGTAGGAAGGGGACATGGAAGTGGGGCTTGATACACAAGTCATCCCAAAGAGATAGTTTCAAGTATCTTGGATCTATAATACAAGGTGGCGGGGAGATTGATGAAGATATTACGCATTGTTTCGGAGAATAATGGTTAAAGTGGAGGCTCGCTTTCGCTGTCGTGTGTGATAAGAATGTGCCGCTAAAACTTAAAGGTAAGTTCTACAAGGTTGTAGTTAGACAGACTATGTTGTATGGAGCAAAGTGTTAGCCGGTCAAGAACTCTCATACCCAAAAGCTAAAAGTAGCTGAGATGAGGATGTTGAGGTGGATGTGTGGGCATACCCGGTTGGATAAGATTAGGAATGAAGTTATTCGCGAAAAGGTGGGAGTGGCCCCTGTGGAGAATAAGATGCGGGAGGCGAGGTTGAGATGGTTCGGGCATATTAAGAAGAGAAGTATTGAAGCCCTAGTTAGAAAGTGCGAGCAGTTAGCCTCAGTGGGCAGCAAGAGGGGTAGAGGTAGGCCTAAGATGTCCTGGGGAGAGTTTATTAGGCGGGACATGGTGCAACTAGAGCTAACTGAGGATATGGCCCTAGACATGAGGGTTTCGAGGTCAAAGATTAGGGTAGAAGGTTCGTAGGTAGTCGAGCGTTTCTCTTTGTCTTACTCAGGTCACTAGCGTTAGTGTTAGTATGATATCTGTTATTCATAGATGGCTTTTACTACCTAGAGTTTGATTGCATTCATAGATTCGATCTTATTTCATCTTGTAGTTATTCCTACTTGTTGCAATTATATTTTTTAGTCATTCTCTAGCCGAGGGATTATTGGATATAGCCTCTCTGCCCTTCAAGGAGTAGGAGTAAGGCTGTGTACATATCACCCTCCCCAGACCTCACTTGTGGGAAACTACTGAGTTTGTGGTTGTTGTTGAGATTTCAGCAGTACATAAAATTATTTCTATGTTCATATCACTACTAAAAAATGGTTCTATTGGAACAGTTATTTGGTAACGGTTGCAGAACTGTTACAATAGATTATTTTTTGGGACGGTTTTAACCGTTCCAATAGAGTGAAAAGGCTTTTGGTACACTTCTGAAGAAAAACCGTCTCGATAGGACAGTAACCGTCACCATAAATTAAGCTATGAGGACGGTTTAATAAGGCGATACTATAGGGATATTTATAGGAACAGTTTTCTGAAATAAAATATTTATGGGGACGGTTTATTTTTCCCTCCCTGATTTCCCTCCAACATATTTATCAAAAAAAAGTAAAAATAAATTGTGACCCCACAAAAAAAAATTATACTATAGGATTACTAAATCATAAAACCTTCGTCTCTCATCCCAGTATCCTAGAAAAATCGGCCTTCAAACCTTCGTCTGTCCTCTAAGGCTTAAGTTGTCTCTCTCGTCTTCAAATCGCAACGAACTGTTTTGCTTACTCCGACGAAGGAATTCCGACGAGAGACAACCATTTCGGCTAATATAAAGGAATCTTAGATGTAGATTATCGGTATTTCTCCGTGTTCGTGGTTGTTCGCTTTCGCTATTTTGCCGGAAAAGTATTTCGCCGGAAAATTGTTTCGCCTCTTCTTCTGCTTTCTTTCTCTGGTAAGATTTCATCTAAACCCATTAATTTACTACGTCCTTTGTTTGTATTATATGATTTCTAGTTTTTGATTTCATCTAAACCTTGAAATTTTTTGATTTACATTAAGGGCTTTCTTATTATTTGTTGCTACTTGACTCTTCGTGTTATCGATCACATTTTATCTGTTAGTTTTATGTGTTGTTACTGCCTGCCCTGTTGCATTTGCCTAATTTCCATGAATCTAGCCCCTGATTTCTTGCTGGAAGCAATTAGCAGTGTTTAGTTCTTTCTGTAAATCTAGCTTTGAGAGATGCATGTTGTTGTTGATCTGCTGTAGTTGTTGCTGCTACCATTCTTTTGTTCTTTCTGGGAATAATGTGTGTTTTTTTCTCTATCGGAATTGAGTCCAAAACTTGTCGAATCGACTAAAAATGTTAGATAACAGTTGAAAATTCATTGGCTTACTTGGGATTCAGTTGAAAAATAGTTGAATGTTCTGTTTTGAAAGGTTTTGAGTTTCTGATTTTTTGAGTCTTGAACTGAACTTCCTTCTTGTTCTACTATGAGATCGCTTCTGTGACAGACTGAATTAGACTTGCATAGAGCATAAACTCAAAATTCTAAGATCCACGAACTGAAATCCAACCACAAATTAAGTTTATCTTAATGGCATTGGAGCCTACTGTAAAGTCATTTGCATTTGAGTTTAACTTTATGTATTAATATCGCACTATCTGGTCACCTAAAAGATAATTGCATGTAATCGTCCTTAAGAAGTAGGAATAATAACCTGAAAAATTAGGCTGATAATAACCTGTTACAATATGTTAAAATACACATCCAGTGCAACTAAGATATATTCTAGTAGTATAAGTTTTTGGGTGTTTAACCATTACATGAGTAGATCTCTATAGCTAATACTACCTCTTCAGTTCTATTTCTGTTTTCCCGTTAGTGCAGCAATGTTGCTGCTATTGCTGCAATAATGAGATTTTATAGTGTTTCAATGTGGATCCCCTGTTATCCTGTAGTTAGTACTGGTTATCATTCGATTAAAAAGCTTGGTTTCAGTTGGCGCTTATGCTGATGTTGCTTAAGTACAGGCACAAGACGAGGGTCCATATTGGTCGATTAGTTAAAAATACATCTGCAAAACTTAAGCAAGGCAGTGAAACAGATCATCGTATTGAAGTCAGTGTAAGTGTTAAGAGCTCACCTACATCCTCTTGCCTTCTGTGTTTGATAACTAATATGCCATTACATGGAAACCATCATATATGCATCTTTTCCAACTTACCATGTGAGGCTCAAGTTTACTCTGAAACTATCATATGCTGCGCATTGCCATAGTTTACTCTGAAACTATCATATGCATATCCTTAACTTATCATATGAAGCTGCACTTTATTTGGAATTCTACTGTTGTTATTTATATAATACCTAATAAAGCTATTTTTATTTGTATTCTTCATCAGATTTGATAGATATGAGTCAAGAAAGACCTTCAAAACCCAAAAGAAAGACAATCGCAACATACACAAAACCTGGAACAATGGCATCTTTGGCAAACCAAATAAGGACTTCGTTTAGCCAAAAATATGTTGTTCCCGCTAGACAATCAAACAAAGAGCGGCCGAATATTATTTTAGAAAATCTGCCAGGAGCAGTAGCCCATGCACAAACTAGATCAACCACTTCTGCAAAATATGTTGCTCCTGCTAGACAATCAAACAAAGAGCCTCTGAATATCATCGAAGAGAATTTGCTAGTGCCACAATATTAAGAAGTAGCAGCCCATGTACAAACAAGATCAACCACTCCTACAACACAGGTAATAGAGGAACAAGTTCAGTTGGATTCTACAACTCTTGTTAAAGATGAACAATGTGAAGAACAAGGTAAGAACCTATAGACTTTATCTAAAAATATTTACATCCTATTTCAGTCATAAAAAATATACCAACAATAGTGATTTGGTGGTTTTGTTTGGTTCGAATAGTTGAAGGCCCTTCTAATCAAACAAGAAAAAGAGGAAAAACAAAGATGAAAAGTGTACATGGACGACATGAGCGTAAATTGATTTTACTTAACAACTTAAATCAACCCGTCGGTCCTAGTGACGCAGTTGTGACAGAGTTTGGAAGCTTCCTCGGCATATTGGCAAGGAATGCGACTCTATGTCCTCTTGATATTTTGGATTGGAGGAAGATGGACACAAAAGAGGATATATGGGAATATACCAAGGTCTGAACTTCTTAAGTTTTAATTTTTGATTGAAAATCTTTCATATTTTCTGCACTAACAGATTTGACACCAATTGTAGGATAAATATGATATTCCTGAAGCTGCAAAAAAATATACTTTGGAATCAATTCAAGCTGCTTGGAGAAAGAATAAAAGTAGATTGAAAAAAAATCACTTTGACCCCTATAAAAGTGATGAAACTCGAATGCAACATATCCCTGAAGATGTTCCAGTTTCTCAGTTTAAGGAACTCCTTAGGTATTGGAACTCTGAGAAACTCCAGGTATGTGACTTTTTACTTGTTCTTCTTCATCTTCTTGAACTACTTCTTAGCAGAATTATGGGCCTGCTCATCGTGGATCTTCAATGTTTCATCGTGCATCTTCTGCACCTTCTTTTTCTTCTTCCCTGTTGCTGCCTTTGAAATTGGTGTATTGATCTTTTGTGCATTGGTAGGACTGGTATTTTGCTCATCACAAGCCTCGTAGTTGTCCAGTGAATCAGCTTCGTTCCCTTTCTCCTCCTCAACCTGATCCGCCCAGCTTTTGGATACATACTCGTCTTCATCTTCTTCGTATTTCTTGTCTGAATCATAAGCATATTCTCCTTCTTCATAACCAATCCTTTCCTTAGGCTTTTTTGTTGCTGAAGACATCATCCTGAAGTGTTTGTTGATGGTGTGATAAGTGTATTGAGTTCCCTGATCGACCAGCAAGGTCATTAGATGGTATTTCATGATTGGAGGTATGTTTTTATTTTCATTCTTCTTCTTCTTCTTCTTCTTCTTCTTCTTTTTCTTTTTCTTTCTAAACGTCCAAAAAGCACCGAAATGCTGGCGAATTTTTTTCAGAAAAATTCTGCCCCGTTACTGCCCAAATTCTGCACAGATTCTGCCCAATTGTTGTCTATGCCATACTTATTTACTGGCGTGTGCATTGAGAGGATTCAAATTCTCCAGTATTTTAGCTCCTACTGTCGTGAGGTTACCAGATTCTGTAGTCCAATGCCCCTCCATATTTTTCTCCTCGTTGCTGCCCAAATTCCACTCCAAATTATGTGCATTCTATTTTTCAACTAAATCAACAAGTAGATTTAGGATCTAGGATCCCCAACAGTAGGTCGATCACCACTTACATTCAGTGCAATAGTAGCCTCCAACTTTGAACATATAGTAGCTGCTTCAATTCCAGATTTCTCATGGCCTAATACATTTGTTGCATGATTCGAAGACAGCTTCACCACAATAGCTTGATGCAATCCCTCCTCCTTTGCGAATTCCATCCGTTCCTTCATTGAAAACTGAATTGTTGGAACTCCATGTATAACTTCAATAGGTTTCAAGTATTTTTGGTTCAAAGTAGCGGCTGTTTTTGCTTGGTACAGGCGTGCAACATATGTATTTTTCTGTTTGATATTTTAACATGAAGCATTATATATGACTCTGGTACCTTTCTGTTCGATATTTTAACAGGAAGAATTATATATTTCATTGTTTGATGTTTCTTTCTGTTTGCAGAGAATGTCTAAAACTAACATTGAGAATAGGAAGAAGTTGAAGAATCCTCACACTGCTGGAAAAAGAAGTTTTGCTTTAGTTCGATCTAAGTTGGTGTGTAACTAGTAAATCGTGGCAGAAAAATTTCAATTTTAGCTTTTGTTTAGTTCATGGAAGATCACTAGGAATGCTAACTCACTTTCATGTAACTAGGAAAAAGACAAGGAAACTTCGAATCCTTTATCAGCAAAGGAAGTCTTTGTTGCTACAAGGAAAAGAAAAGTTGGGCGATCATACAAGTCCTCGGATGAAGATACAACTAGTAAAATTGTGCGATTATATTTAATTAATGTTATATTGAGATCAATTATTTATTTCTATTTGGTTACTTTTTGTTTACTTGAATTATATTTTTTTGAATTTGCTTTGTAGGCTGAAATGGAGGAAATTAAAGCACAACAAAACTTAAATGGCAATGAGTCCGTAGAGGCATTTGCATCTATCATGGGACCTGAACATCCGGGACGTCTGAGATTGTATGGACGGGGGGTTACAAGAACTTCTTTGAGAGAGAAAGCAGGATGTTTTGAACCCTCTTAGAATACTTCAAATTCTATACAAAAATTGGAAGAGAAGATACAAAGAATGGAGGAAAAATTAAGGAACAAAAGGAAACTATCCATCAAGAAGTTGTTGCAGATGTCCTTGCACGACTTCAACGTTCAGGAATTGATATTGACGCTAACATTATTCTGGCGGCATTGGGTGATAATTCATTGGGAGAAGCTTCATCTGCTCAGCAAACAGCATTGCAACCAATCTGTCGTCCATCTACTGGTACCAACAAAGAAGGCCAACTCATTCCAGGTATTAACTCATTGAAAATTTAATAATTTTTGTAAGATTTACGGTTTTAGTTTGGTACTTCATATGCGCATTCTGTTGTATTCCTCTAGTGTACAAAATACTTCTCTACTCCGTCAAAAGCTATTGTATTCCTCTCTCTCTCTATACAGTTCAATGGCTTATGCCTTAACAGTTGAGCTATGAAATCTTGGTTCTGTTGCATCAAACATCAAGTATGATGCAGTGCCATTTTGTAAGAGAAATCTTTTATGTTCATTCAGGTCTATTTTCGATCAACAAGGCCACGGTTTAAACTTGGTAGAAATGAATTATCAGTTTTAGTTTTCTGTTATCACTTTTAGCAAACTCGCGTTGTGGAAGATTGTATCTGGATATATTTGATTATGGTACTTTGTTGAGTGATTTTGTAGATCCCAAGTGACCTTGGTGGATTTCTATGTGGCGTTGCTTATTTAGCCAAGTTCTTGTGTAGAGACATAATTGTGTGATGAAGTCTCTTGTCATTACCCTTTGTGATTCTATCTTCAATAGCCTTCTTAAGCAACAACGCCTTTGTGATTCTATCTTCAATAGCCTTCTTAAGCGACAACGACTGTCTCCAATCAGGCGCAATCTAGCAAAGCAAGAAAAAGCTTTTAGAAACTACAGAAAGAAATAGAACTAAATAAGGAAGTCAAATTCTGATTGTCTTCAAACGCTTGATAAATGACAAGATCTAACTACATAAAGATTAGGAGCAGACCTCCAAACAGTGACATGTAAGCTCTTTGCTCCTTGAATATTCCCCACTTCTGTAATATCCAACAGCTAGAAGATAAAGCTTTTCTCGCTTTTGTAGTGGACTATTTGAGCTGGCAAGTGAAACTGCAAAAAAGGAAAAAGAAACAGAAAAGATGATGATTCTCATAAATTGAACCCTCAGGTAAGTTATTCATCAGATGCTGTTGAGATAAGTTGCTAAGAGCATTATGCCTCTATGTCTATGAATATTGAGACTTAAGGAAACTAGGAGTTAAACAATGAAACGAGATAGTCGGTGGTTGTATCCGAAATTCAAAAACACTTGTAAACTAGATATTATGAAATACGTAGAAGCCCTAGGGAATCAAAAGACAACTTGTAACATAAATGGAGAAGTAGATCTGACTAAATTTCACCCTCAAGCATAGCTATCGCTCGTTGCACATCTTCAGGTTGTTTGGAATGGACAAGCGCCCATGACAACCTCATAATACTCTCATTCTTTCCTTCATCAGTGGCGCCATTTGTAGCATCTGCTGCTTCTCGTTCACATCCCTATCAATATGCATAGACACAAAAGACTAAGCACCAAAAGTAATCTCACCAATTGTGGCTTTAATACTAATCAATTAGTTCAACAGACTCATTTGATTCACTAACTAGTAACTAAAAGTTAGAATTATAATTGTTCCATTTACAGAATTGAGTTATGTTATTAGCGAAGTTTGCAAAGAACTATCCAGAACCTCTAGTTTTATCTGCTACATCTATCTAGGGAGTACTACTATGTATTGTATGTTTGTCTCCTGCTATAGTTGAAATACTGAAAAGTTGTGTGAGGAGCAATAAGGAGATACTTGCAGTGTCTCGAAAACTCTATCTAGTGGCGCCATCTGAATGACTATGTAAATTGAAGGTTTTATCAGAAGCCATTGTTTATTCTAAGTCTTTCTACAACAGGGTGATGCAAACCGAGTGGTGATAGACCTCAATGCAAAAGTTGCCTGTCACTACCTCTTGTTTCCATAGCAGAACAATATGTTTTGTTTGGCTAAAATTTTCAAATTTTCTTAGTTTCAGAACAACTTTGAAAAAATGAATGATCAGAGAAGTGCTATAAGAGTTCAAAGGCCTGTGTTTGGCCAATATATCTGAGGGTTGTCTTGCCCTTTATCTTGCTATATAGTTTTGTTACTTCCCTAGTTAGATGTATCTCCTTATGTTTTCTGATTTGGATATATAGTTTTGTTACTTTCCTAGTTTTGTTTTCTGATCATAGAAGTGCTATATAGTTTTGTTACTTCTTTAGTTAGATGTATCTCCTTATGTTTTCTGATTTGGATATGCACCACAACAAGGATAATGATGTTTTGAGCAGGTTGAAAATTTTGGGATGGTCATATTTACAAAGGAAACTCTGCCGAAAAATTTAAGAATTTAGAGCGTTTGAAAATTTTGGAGTTATCAAATTGGTCATTCAATTACTTTGTGATTCAATTATCTTTTGAAAAATTTATTTAATTATTTCTTGTTGTCTTTCGTAGGTGCAGCGATTGCGGAAGAAAGCAGTGACGAAGACCTTACTTGAGTGTTGTTGATCGTTGTTGATCGTTGTTAAACTTTCTATCATCATGTTCAAAGATATTTTGGTTTAGAACTTTTTGTATGCAAACTCATCTATTTTGACTTTTGAATTGTTGATCAAACAATGTATTCACATTTTGTTTTTGTATATGAGTAATGTTAGTTTGTGGTTTATATAAGTTATGAGTTAAAAAATTTCATTGCATAGGAAAATATTCCTCATTTTGCTTCCATAAATATCAGAAATTCAATTCTGAATTGTTGCAATAGAGCATATAACCGTTCCAGTAGACCAAACAAATAATAATAGCATCCCCTAATAACTGTTGCAATATGTAACAATATCCGTTGCAGTAGGGTACTGATAATTGTTCCAATAGCACAAAAACCGTTGCAATATATCATCAAAACCGTTGCATTAGACTTAAAAAATCGCTGGAATAATTATACCTCAAGGGTTTATAACCGTCCCAATAGAAAATACAACCGTTCCCATAAACAGAGCAATGGTAACAGTACCATAACCATTACAATACCCCCTATATGGAGACGGTTTTCAAACCATTACAAAATAACCGTTCCAATAGACCTATTGTAACACTGAATCCCGGAACGCCTCCAAATCCATTCCGATAGCCCTATAGGGACGGCTAGTGTATCTATTGCCACGGTTTTGGAAGGGTTGCCATAGACCTAATTTCTAGTAGTGTATGCATGATATTTTTACTTTGTTTATTGTGACTGGATATAAAAAGATAATTTTAAAATCATTGTTATTTTTGATATCGCACGGATACATTAAGTAGTAGGTTCATATAAACTAAAACGAACAGAGTACTACTTAATTTGGCTAACACAATGTCCCACACAGGACATGAGGAGATGAATTAGAAAACTTATCAGTGTCATATTTGAGTAGGTGTCACGACCCAAAATACATTAGTCGTGATGGCACCTGACCCAACCCGTTAGGTTAGACAGTTAACACATTTCTAGTAAAATAAAGGTGACCAACAAATGCTACATCTGGATTTCCATATAATAACCCAATGACTGGTAGTACAAGTCATGAGCTACTAAGACTGGATATTGTAAAAACTGATATAAAATGGATACAACTTCTATTCGAAATGTACATAAATAGAATACAACTTTAAGACTACACAGGGACAAGTGGTAGCCACACCGGAAGGCACGAACATCTTAAGAGTCAGCTCTTGTCATCCACCGCAGCTCCGCTCCAAGATCTGCATGTAAGGGTGCAGAAGTGTAGTATGAGTACAACCGACCCCATCTACTCAGTAAGTATCTTGACTAACGTAGGTGAAGTAGTGACGAGGATTTTTAGTTAGAAGATACTCACTGATATAACCTGTGTAGTAAACTAGCAATAGAACAACACTACAACATAATAGAAAAAAGAGTACACAAAACGAATATGCGAAGCAGTAAATGAGTACTAGAAGAAATCACGATTTAATATTTCCCAATAACAGTAATGAAAAAGTTGAAAAAGCACAGGTAGCAATAACGAACAAGGCAGTACATATGGACAATGGTATCAGACTAGGTAGAAGACAGAGAAATAATGACAGCAATTAGGAAAGAAGAATATAAATTTCACTAACTAGCGTGGTAGAAGGCCTAGGTGTAGAGATAACAAACAAGAGGGAAAACATGATCTTTATGAGCTAACAACTAGAAGGCATGAATAACTAACATGATAGAAAGCTTACACGAAAGTGCAACAAATGAGGAATGGCATGGATATGGATATAACAACAAGAAGGCAAACATGATATTTGCAAGTTAAATAAATAGAAGGCATAGGCAACACACCAACAATTGAGATAGAGGACAAAGATAGAATAACAACAACAAGTCACATAGAAAACATAGGTACAACAGTAATAGCTCAAGGTAAATGCATGAATGTATACACAAGGAAAAGATATCATAGCATAAAATGCATATCCCTTGTCCTCGGCTGCACGGAAACACCCTTCATGCCATGAACTCGGGATAAGATAAAAGCATGATAATACGAATAAAATGGCACGGCATCACCCTTCCTGCTTTAACTCTCATCCTCACATGATAATGTAAATGAGAACACGATAATATAATGAAACAGTACGACATCACCCTTTGTGGCTTTACTATCATCCTCTCATGATAATGTTTATGCAATGGCACGACATCACCCTTCGTGCTTTATACTCTTCCTCACCAAGCATATCCATATCAATGACAATAATGGTAGGAAGCATGAATAATGTCAGGGAGAGTGTTTAAGCAAATATTCCAAATGAACATCAATCACAGCTTTCAAGACAACAACGATTCAATAAACCTTATGTAATTTATTGTTCAAGTATTTTGACAAATCTCAAAATGAGCTTTAACCCAAGTATAGAATCCAATATCTCAAGAATAATGGTCGTAGTAATGTATTAATGATTAAACATAGTGATGACCGAATTTATCACATCAATGGTTTCACAAAAATCCGGCAAGTTTTAGTCAAGTTGTAATAAGCTAAATCTCGGTTTCTAACATTTAATTTCATTTTCTTAGTAATCTAGAAGTCAAGTAAGACTTGAAACAAGGAAGTCACGTAATTCTGCAAGGCATAATAAATCAAATAATTTACCCCCGAGCATGATTTAACCCTGGCACATGTATATACACTTGTCACCTCATATATGCATCGCTCTTGCATGTAGCAGACAATGGCAATTAGTTGGAAAAATTTTCCCAACAAAGTTAGGCAAGACACTTACCTCAAACAAGCCAAATCGATACACTAGAAGCGCCATCCCACTCAAATCATCCTCCGGACGGCTCAAAACTAGCCAAAAGTAACTCAAAATCGTCAAGTAATGCCATGGGAAGCAAACCCAATCGATAAAGGTCAAAACTTTACACATTTACTCAAAGTCAGCCAAAAAGTCAAAACCGGGCTCGCACCTCGAAATGCGAAAAACTCCCAAATTCCGACAAACCATTTAATTACGAGTCCAAACTTACTAATCACTCAATTCTGACTCGAATCGTTGCTCAAAACTCAAAAATTCACTTTAGGAAAGTTTAGACAAAAATCCTCTATTTCTCTTTTGAAATTATCAATCAAATATCAAAAAACGAATATGGAATCGCAAAAAATAATTAAAACCAAGTAGAAAAGACTTACTCCAGTCCATATGCTGAAAATATTCTCAAAAACCGCCCGACTCCGAGCTCCAAACCCATGTGAGAAAAAGTGGATAAATTCAGGAATAAGTTAAAAATGCACCAGTTATTATAGCTCGAATCAGATTTAAGAGGACATAAAAACTCACATTTGATGAGCCCGGCATAATCCTTGCGAAATTACACCCAATATAGCCTTTTGAATCAACCAATTTAGCTTTAAAATAAGGAAGATATGATGTTTTGATGTTTTAAAGGAAATCTAAAAATTTAAGAGACAGAAATGACATTTTCGTAATTATTTTAAACTAGAAAATCTACAAAAACGAATTTTCGTTTTAGCATCCGAAACTCATTCGGAACCTCCCGTACACAAAGAATATATATATTTCAATCATAAAATACGATACGAACCTGCTCGTACACTCAAAACACCGAAAAGAGGTCATCTTTACAATATTGACCATGGTAAAATTCCAAATCCTTAACCTAACTAGTTTCTCTACCAATGATCCAAAACACACTCGAGCCCTCGGAACCCCATTAAATCATACCAACAAGTCCTAAATCATGATACGAACTTATTCGAAGCTTCAACTCACATCAAACAACATAAAAACCATGAATGGCACATGAAATCAAACTTAATGAACATTTGAACATTCAACTTCCAAAACTCGTGTCGAACCATATCAAATCAACGCGGAATGACCTCAAATTTTGTACCCAAGTTTAAAACGACATAACGAAGCTATTTAAATTTTTGGAACCAAAATCCGAACCCGATATCACCAAAGTCAACTTTCGGTCAAACTTATGAACATTCCAAAACTCCAAATTGCCAACTTTCGCTTATTAACGCTAGAACCTTCAAGAAACATCCACGTACAAATTCGGGGATATGCCCAAGTCCAAATCAGCATTCAGACCTAGCGAAACCATCAAAACTCTGATCCGGGGTTAAATACACAAAAGACAAACTTGATCAACTCTTCAAACATAAAGCTTTCTAATTGAGAATTATTCTTCCAAATCAACTCCGGATCACCTGAAAACCAAAACTGACGATTCACACAAGTGTCATGTAGGGTTCTAAAATGAGAGAATTTGATACTTATCGGTGTCATGTTCGGGATATTGTTGTGTATATGACACTGATAATATTTGAGTAATTACTTTATCTTATCTCTTTAAATTATTTTAGGAAAACCTACGAAAGCCTAAACCATAGGTAAAACTAAAAGAATTACTGCTCCTACATTTGTTAATATCTTCAAACATACTTAGTTATTTCCGCTATGTGGTTTTCATCCTCAGTCTATACTAACCATTTTTTGTGGATTTTTCAAGTTCAAAATAGATTTGGAAAGTTGACAACCCACTTCCATTAATAGATAGAATTGGGAAAAACAACTTCAAAGACGAGTTTTCTGCAAACAAAATGAGATATAAAATGCAATCAACGAACAATTCAATAATTTTCCATCTAAACTTGACATATGATTCAGAAAAAATTATCTTCGAGGTATATCTAAACCCAATTCCTCAACGACACTCAATTCATCCAAATTACAAAATAGCCATTCATTTCTTTAGAAGAGAGGTATTTTATACTTAGCCATCTTTGCAAAGATACTAGGTATAATTTGTCACGACCCAAAAGGCTAACCTGTCGTGATGGCGCCTATCATGGTACTATGCAAGCCGACACCTTTCAAAACACTTTGATATTTACATAAAAGTTAAGTCAAAGCTATTTCATAATAGAGTTGAACTCAAAACAACAATGCGGAAAAGATAGCCCAACATTGAGGTGTCACTAAGTCATGAGTATCTAAACCCAGTCTAGAATCGGTGTTTACATTAGTCCTCAAATGCCAAAAAGGAAAGAAAAGATAACAAAGGAGGGAGGGTCAAGGTTTGCGGACGTCGGCAACTACCTCGTACGTCTTCACTAACCAAATGCACACGAACTCAACGATCTCTGCGACCGGTCTCACCTGAATATGCAAATAAGGTGTAGGGAGTAACGTGAGTACTTCCAACTCAGTAAGTAACAGAAATAAATAAGGTACTGAGAAGCAGTGATGAGCTATACAAATACAATTTATCTTAATAACTTTCAAATAAGGAACGGTCATGCATTCAAATTTCGTAGCTTAAGTCAAATCGATTCGTGCCCAAGTAAAACAAATATCAAGTCTTCCAGAAAATTGCACAACAAAGACAGATAATAGCTAAGTGCAACAAATAATTTGAAGCAAGTACAGTTTCTAAGCTCATCTCAACAGCTCAATTACTCGGCTCTCAGCCCTCAGTAATCATACTCAATAGGTACCTGCGCTCACTGGGGGTGTGCAGGCTCTGGAGAGGCTCCTTCATCCCAAGCATTATATCGCTGCAGTGTGTAGCCCGATCCAATATATAAACAGCCATAAGGCTCGTTGCGCCGTGCAACCCGATCAAATATAGATAATTAGCATGAAGGCTCGTTGCGGCGTGCAACCCGATCCAATATACATACATATATAGCCCGGAGGCTCGTTGCGGCGTGCAACCCGATCCATATACACTCATATAGCTCACAGCTCGGGCTCAGGCCCTATCTCTGTCACCAACCTCACCAGTCCCTCGGGCTCTCAAAAAAAGCATATAATTCAGCCCAAACAGAGATAATAACATGTATAAATGATAAATAGGGAGGGACGGAAGTAAAATACGCAAGTAATATCATCATTGAGAACAAAATAGCAAATAGCAATTAATTTAGCAAGTACACGACCTCACGGGTCTCAACAGTGATATCACAAGGCCTAAACACGGTTTCTAACATAAAGTGTAGTCAATTTCCATAAAAAACAGAGGGAACACGTAGTAAACACTAGGCTATTCGATTCTACAGTCTCACGGGACGGACCAAGTCACGATCCCTACGGTGCACTCCCTCACGCCCCTCACCTAGCATGTGTGACACCTCAAAAATAGTCATACGACACAAAATTTGGGGTTTCATACCCTCAGGACCAGATTTGCAACTGTTACTTACCTCTATCCGAGTAAAATCCTACTCCGCAATTCCTTTGCCTCTCGAACCAGCCTCCGAATGTCCCGAATCTAGCCACAAGCAGTACAAAACCATTAATATATGCTAAAGGAATCAATTCCCCAAGAAAAACTACTAGGTTAGACATAAATCCCAAAATTGGCTCAAACCCGGCCCCCGGACCCACGTCTCAAAACCCGACAAAAGTCACAAAACCCGAAAGCTCATTCACTCACGAGTCTAACCATTCTAAATTCATAAAAATACGATATCATTTGCCCCTCAGAATCCACAAAATTCACTCTCAAATTCTAAAGCCCTAATCTCCCAAATTTTACCTCAAAAACTCACAAACTAGGTGTAAAATCAGTGGGGAAAATCATTATTGAAAATAAATAAGCACAAGGATCTTACCTCAGTAATCACTTCAAAACCCTCTTCAAAATCCTCCAAAATCCGAGTTCCAAAACGTGAAAATGGTGAAAAATCTCAAAGTCATGTTTTTATATGATTCTGCCCAGCTACATCGCACCTGCGGTCCATATGTCGCTTCTGCGATGCTTCACCTGCGGAAAACCTATCGCAGGTGCGTATTTCAATTCAAATCCTGACCTCGCTCCTACGGCCTCAAGACCGTATCTGTGCTTCCGCAAGTGCGGAACCCATCTCGCTTCTGCGGTCCAAACTCGCACCTGCGCCCTTGGGTCCACTTCTGCAACCGCCGCAAGTGCGGGTTTGCATCGCACCTGCGTCCTCTGCCCAGGTCAACCTTGGCCACTTTTGCAGCTCCTTGGCCGTTTCTGCGGGCTCGCATCTACAGTTCCCACTCTGCAGGTGCGATTATGACAGCTGAGTTCAACTTCATCAGCCTTCCAATTTCCAAACTTGTTCCGTAGATCACCCGGAATCTATTTGAGGCCCTCAGGACCTCAACTAAACATACCAACACGTCCGACAACATCATACGAACTTAGTCAAATCATCAAATCACCTCGAACAACGTAAAAACACAAATTACACACGGATTCAAGCCTAATGAACTTCAAAACTTCCAAATTATACAAACAATGTCAAAACCTACCAATTCACGTCCGAATGCCCTCAAATTTTGCACACAACTCAGAAATGACACCCCGAACCTACTCCACCTTCTAGAAATCCAATCCTACCCCGATATCAAAATCTCCACTGCCGGCCAAAATTGCCAAAATTCTAACTTTTGCCAATACAAGCCTAATTGTACCACGTACCTCCAAATCACATTTCGGACGCGCTCCATTCCCAATATCACATCAAAGTCAACCATACTAAGCAGCAACAGATCAACTCTCGTCTCAAATCCCCCAACAATCACTACACACGATTGGTATACACGATCCACAATAATAGTATCGCCCAACGGCATAGATATACGGACGGATGAAACTAGAGTCTCACGGGGCATGTCCAGATATTGAGCAATATATGATGACACAAATGAATAGGTGGAACCAGGGTCAAATAATACGGAAGCATCTTGATGACATATGGAGATAATACCTGTAATCATTGTGTCTGAAGCAATGGCATCTGGTCTGGTAGGGAGTGCATAGAAACGGGCCTGACCACCACCCGATAGGCCTTCCCCTCTAGGGTGACCCCTAGCTGACTGAGCTCCACCCCGATCTAGCTAAGTGAGTGGTGAAGTAAGTGGTGCTGAAGTCGAAGGCTGACCGCTCTGCTACTGAGTTGGACCTCCCACTAGGCGGGGACACTGCCTCCTGATATGACCAAACTACCCACACTTGTAGCAACTCCCTGGTGTCGGTGGTGGGGACTGAAGGGAGCCCCGAGCACCAGGATCACTTGTAGAAGAACCTGGCATAGATGAACCTTGCACTGATGGTGCCTCTGTCGAACTCTGAGCTGGGAGGGCACTAAGAGATGAGTGGACCTGATGTGAACTATGAGAACCATGGCCAGATGATGCACCACGATGAACAGGGTCAGCTGTCTGAGCATGCCTGGAAGTACGACCTCAGCCGTGGTGGAACTAACCTCCAGAAGGAACACCACAAAAACTACCTAATACCCGAGGCCTCTTGGCCTCCCTCTCAACCCGCTCCTGGCGGCAAACAGACACTATCTCCCAGGTGATGTCAACAACCTCCATAAAAGTAGCACCAGGCACCCTCTCTCTAGTAATAAGTATTTTCACCTAATATGTGAGGCCATCAATGAACGTCCTGATCCTCTCCTTCTCTGTGGGAACCAACCAAATAGCTTGACGAGCAAGCTCAGAAAATCTCAACTCTTACTGCGTTACAATCATAACGTCCTGACGCAACTGCTCAAATTGTCTACGCAGCTCCTCTCTACGGGACTGCGGCACATACTTCTCCAAAAAGAGAACGGAAAACAACTGCCATGTAAGTGGCACTACACCTATCGGCCTACGCCTCTCATACGCCTCCCACCAAGTGAAGGCATCTCCATTGAACTGAAAAGTAGTGAACGAGACCCCACTGGTCTCCAGAATACCTGCTGTACCGAGAATCCTCTAACACTTGTCCAAGAAACCCTGGGCATCGTCGCCCTTTATATCACTGAATGTTAGAGGTTGGAGCCTCCCAAACCTCTCAAATCTATGCTACTCATCATCAGGCATGACTGGAACCACATAATCCAGAGCATGTGCAATCGGCTAGGCTGGTGGTGCCCCCAGTGTTTGGAGTCCCTGTACCACCTGCTCTGGTGTACGGGCGGCGGGAGTCTAAGTACTTCTCCTGGCTTAGGAAGTGGCTGCTGTAGTAGAAACAAAGACCTCCTGAGCAAGACTGGTGCACACGGTCAGAATCTGAGCTAAGGTCTCCTAAAGACCTGGAATCAAGAAGGGCACAACTGGTGCCTGAGTTGGTCCCACTGGAGCATCCACAACTGGACCTCTTCCTGAACTGGGGCAACTGGTGGATCTGCAGGTGCTGCTCTGACTGCTATGCGAGCTGCACCCCTGCCCCTACCACAGCATCTACCGCGACCTCGGCCTCTTGCGGCCCCAATTGGTGGTACTGGGAGCTGTCCGTCCTAACTAGTAGCGTGTGTCGTCACCATCTGTGAGAGAATAGAATAACACAAGTTTAGTCACCAAAATCAACAGGTTCGCGCGATAAGAATTCAAGAATGTGAAGTTTCCTAAGGGTTCTTCAGCCTCTCGAAGATAAGTACAGACGTCTCCGTACCGATCTGCAAGACTCAACTAAACCTGCTCATGACTCGTGAGAACTTTGTAATCGAGGCTCTGATACCAACTTGTCATGACTCAAAACGCTAACCTGTCGTGATGGCGCCTATCGTGGTACTAGACAAGCCAACACCTTTCAAAACACTTCGATATTTACTTAAAAGTTATGTCAAAGCTATTTCATAATAGGAACTTCATAACAGAATTGAAGGCAAAACAACAACGTAGAAACAATAACCCAAAATTGGGGTACCACTAAGTCATGAGCATCTAAAATGAATCTAGAATAAAAGTTTACAATAGTCCTCAAATGCCAAAACAGAAAGAAAAAAGATTACAATGGAGGGAGCGTCAAGGGTTGCAGATGCTGGCAGCAACCTCGTATGTCTCCGCTAACCAAACGCGCACGAACTCATCGATCTCTGTGACCGGTCTCACCTGGATCCACACATAAGGTGTAGGGAGTAACGTGAGTACTTCCAACTCAGTAAGTAACCGAAATAAATAATGAACTGAGAAGCAGTGACGAGCTATATAAATGCAGTTTATCGTAATAACTTTCAAATAAGGAACAATCATGCTTTAAAATTTAGTAGCATAAGTCAAATCGGTTCGTGCCAAAGTAAAACAGATATCAAATCTTCCAGACCACAGTCATTCAACTCATATCAACAGCTCAATCACTCGGCTCTCAGCCCTCAGTAATCATATTCAATAGGTACCTGCACTCACTGGGGTTGTGCGAACTCCGGAGGGGCTCCTTCAGCTCAAACGCTATATCACTATGGCGTGCAGCCCGATCCAACATACAAACAGACATAAGTCTCATTGCAGCGTGCAACCCGATCCAATATAGATAATTAGCCTTTAGGCTCACTGCGGCGTGCAACACGATTAAATATATATATATATATATATATATAGCCCTGAGGTTAGTTGCGACATGTAACCTGATACATATACACTCATATAGCTCACAGCTCGGCACTCAGGCCCTATCTTAGTCACCAACCTCACCAGTCCCCCGGGCTCTCAGAAAAGCATATAATTCAGTCCAAACAGAGATAATAACATGTATCGATGATTAATAGGGAGGGACGGAGGTATGATACGCAAGTAATATCATGACTAAGAACAAAACAATAAATAGCAATTAATTTAGCAAGTACACGACCTAACAGGTCTCAACAGTGATATCATAAGGCTTAAACATGGTTTCTAACATGAAGTGCACTCAATTTCCATAAAAACAGATGGAACACGTAGTAAATAGTAGGCTATTCGATTCTACATCTCACGCGATGGACAGAGTCACAATCCCTACGGTGCACGCCCACACGCCCGTCACCTAGCATATGCATCACCTCCAAAATAGTCATACGATAAAAAATCCGGGGTTTCATACCCTCAAGACTAGATTTACAGTAGTTACTTACCTCAATCCGAGAAAAATCCTACTCCGCAATGCCTTTGCCTCTCGAACCGGCCTCCGAAGGTCCAGAATCTACCCACAGCCGACAATACCATTAATATATGCTAAAGGAATCAATTCACAAAAAAATACTAAATTAGACTCAAATCCCAAAATTGTCTCAAACCCGGCCCCCGGGCCCACCTCTTGAAAATTGACAAAAGTCACAAAACCCGAAAGCTCATTCACTCACGAGTCTAACCATACTAGTTTCATCAAAATCTGACATCATTTGCCCCTCCAAAATCCCCAAAATTCACTCTCTAATTCTCGAGCCCTAATCTCCCAAATTTCACCTAAAAAACTCACCAACTAGGTGTAAAATCAGTGGGGAAATACCATTATTGTAAATAAATAAGTAGATGGACCTTACCTTAGTAATCACATCAAAACCCTTTTCAAATTCCTCAAAAATCCGAGTTCCAAAATTGTAAAAACGGTGAAAAATCTCAAAGTCCCGTTTTTATATGCTTCTGCCCAGCTATACCGCACCTGCGGTCCATATGTCGCTTCTGCGATGCCGCACCTGCAAAAAATCCATCGCAGGTGCGAATTTAACTTACAAATCCTGACCTCGCTCATGTGGCCTAAATACTGCATATGCGCTTCCGCAGGTGTGGAATCTATCTCGCTTCTGCAGTCCAAACTCGCACCTGTGCCCTTGGTTCCGCTTCTGCGACCACCGCAGGTGCGGGAATGCCATCGCACCTACGTGCTCTACCCAGCTCAACCTTGGCCACTTATGAAGCTCCTTCTCCGCTTTTGCGGGCTCGCACCCACAGGTGCAATTATGACAGCTGAGTTCAACTTTAGTAGCGTTCCAATTTCCAAACTTGTTCCGTAGATCACTCGAAATCAATCTGAGGTCCTCGGGACCCCAACCAAACATACCAACACGTCCCACAACATCATATGAACATAGTCAAATAATCAAATCACCTCGAACAACATCAAAAATACGAATTACACACGGATTCAAGCCTAATGAACTTCGAAACATCCAAATTCTACAAACAACGTCAAATCCTATCAATTCACGTCCGAATGACCTCAAATTCTGCACACAAGTCTAAAATGACACCACGAACCTACTCCAACTTCCGAAAATCCAATCCGACCCTGA